TGGTTTACGGTTTGGGATCTAATTATTGTGGATCTCTTGGTTTGGGACACAATCTATACGTCAATGAAATCCAAGTGATCGACAGATTGTGTCACAAGATTATCACACAATTCTTCATTGGGGAAAACTTTGTGTTAGCTCTCACTCAACATAATTGTCTTTATGGTTGGGGTCTTAATGATAGGGGACAGTTAAGTATCACGGCCATGAATATCGATTACTTAAACGTAAAAGCGGAACCCTTTGATATCAAAAACATCAAAAATAAGACTATATGTCAAATAAGTTATGGATTTTATCACACAATGATTCTCACGAGTGATGGCTGTGTCTACGGATGGGGTGATAATATGTTCGGACAGTTAGGTTGTGGACCAGACAGTGATATACGAAAAGGAGACATATTTCAAGTGAATTTTACCCCAAATAACAAAATTAAAAGCATTTATTGCTGTGAATACTCTTCATTTGCCATCACATCTGAGGGACAGGTGTTTAGTTGGGGTCGAAATGATTTCTATAATTTGGGACACAATTCATCGGATAATATATGGGAACCACAACTCATTGCAGACATGACTGGTATTAAGACTATCTGTTCCGGTGTTGGCAANGAAATGATTTCTATAATTTGGGACACAATTCATCGGATAATATATGGGAACCACAACTCATTGCAGACATGACTGGTATTAAGACTATCTGTTCCGGTGTTGGCAAAACATTCTTCTTATCAATCAATGGATTCATTAAATTTTGCGGAAAATATAGGAATGAAAACAACGAATATTTTATACAAGTTTCACCACAATTAGTAAATACTGATAAGAGGTTTACAGAAATTAATATAATTAGGTCACACAAGAATAACCCGTTTCTCATTATTTCTATAATGAATGGAAAATTATATAATATTACAGATGAACCAAACGATAATATAATTGAAACAAATTATACAAATTTCTTCGACTGTTTCACAAATGAATATCAAATGACTCATAAAACCATTGATTTGTGTGATTATAAGGAATATAATTATAAGGATTGCGAAGAATTTATTGCAAAATGTTTGGATTATTTGGAAAAAGTATTTTCTTCTATAAACGAGTTATCAAACAATGGTATGAATTGGTTTGAGGTGTTATTCATAAAGTACATACAGATAGTCATTCATTGATTCACAACTAAAAACATCTATAGTTTAATATTATTCCCAAATTGCAAATAACGCTCATTTTATTTGATCAAAATCTCTATTGAGTAAGAACTTTAATAACTATATATCTAAAGCTAAATATGCAAGATTAATCTAAAAATATTCAAATGTCCTTGAAATAAGTTAAGAAATTAATTTAATTAACTGGTACATTTTACAATTGTCTCTTTTCGAACGGTAAATCCAAATCTCAATATAATTTTAATTTAAAAACATTTCAAACTATCAAGATTCCTAATCAAATTATTTAAATTTTATTTATGCAAAAATAAATAATTAATTAAATTAACTTTAAGTAAGCTTCTTAATTACCCCTCACCTCTGAGTACTTTTGAATTATATTTTAACAAAACTGAATAAATGAATGGATTTATTTAATTTGTTTTATAGTTGTTTTCGAAGTCAATGATTACAAGCGTTTGTACGAAGAGTTGCATTCATTAGGTTCGGGAGCTTTTGGGGAAGTATTTGTTGTTAAAGAAAAATATGATGGACGAGAATATGCGGTTAAGAAAATTAAATTTGAAAGTAATTTAATTATATTTATA